ACTCGGATGATTATAATGATTTTTACAGTGTGTATTATTCTATCAGTATCATTTGCATTTGAAGCTAATAACCATGATCCTCTGCATTTCTCTCAAAATCAACCCAATATTCTCTCTAGTGAAGACTTTAAACTCATAAATGTTATCCCTAAGACGATCATAAATATCCCTAAGACTGTCATATATGTTATCCCCACTACTAGAAAATCACCTACTAGCCACTGATATAGAGACACAAATTCAAATAAGTGCCTTTAAATTTTTTTGTCGATACTAATAATACCACCATGCCTATTAAAGTAATTAGGCATAGACATGAGTGTCGAATACAATTAAAGTGAATTTCAGACTTTTACTTAATATTTAGACCTCTTTATCAATCCCAAATGATGTTGAAAGAAGCTGTCAGCCCACTTCCCGCTGGTTCCTATTACCTTGACTATGAAATTTGAAAGCAGGCGGGAGAATATAAACACACACATATTTGAAAAGCAGAGCAGCCTATAAAGTGGAATTATTCAACCATACATGCGTTGTTTTCCAAATTAGGGTGCTTTCTGCTTTCAAGAGATGCAATGGGCTTCCCAGCTTCCTCCGTCTATGGTGCTTCTACTTTCAAGAGATGGTCTTCTAGGCCCCCTTGGTGATCGTTTTTTTATGTTAATATCTTTTGTGTATTTCTGTAAGCTTTTTGTTGGCCTCATGAATTTGTTTCTACTATGTCTTTGCTTGCCTAGGTTCTTTGGGTTTCCTTATTAGAGTTCTAGCTAGGGTCGTTTACCTGAGTGTATTTATCCACGTTGTACTCTTGTGTATCCATCTCCTATTGCTGGAGGACTCATGTAAAGTAATGAGCATTATGTATCTGAGGTTTACCAAATTTCTATCTCTCTGCATTTGGCCTTTTATGGAATTAATTTTGGAAACAAGATAATTAAGGGGAAGAAACAAGAACAATTGAGATGTAACTACCTTGAGAAGGTACAATTTAACTAACGACAAGCTGATGCACCAACAAGACTCGTAAGACTATTTAATTAAAGAATTTTACATAACCTTGAGTGGTTTAATAATTAAAAGTTGTTTGGATAATATGAAATATTGGGCTGCTGTATTCAGTTTTCATTCAAGGAAATTACATTACATTGAGAAATTAAATATAATCAATAGAATAATATGAAAATCAGCCCCCAAATCGTATTTGAAAAGTGCATATTATTAAATTAAAATACACATTCTTGTGAATATTAAAAGTAATATATGAATGGGAACTAATGGCTTTAAGTGTATTACATAAATGATAAATGATAAATGATATAGGGTGTTATTAAATGGGTGCTCATACAACAGAGAATATACTAAAACTCAAATCTAGAATCTGTCTTGTTTGAAGAGTACACAATTGCAAACTGATATGTCATGATTAGTGCCTAATATAATAGACACCATTCCAAATATTAGATCCCAAGCTTGAAGCCATTGAATATGGCTTGGCTTAACTCAAATGGCTTGTATCTTAAAAGGTAAGTTTTAATGGAAAATCGGGAAGGACTGACTCAATAAATGGTACCCAAAAAATAATAGCAACCCCAAACTAGGATACTGATTTAAAAATAGTGGCTGCATAGTCCTATTGGTTAATGGAGACAATTTACTGTCTCAAAATTTAACTTAGGGGACAAATCTGGATCAGTACATAGTGTGTGTGTGTGTTTTTAGTAGTGCGTTATCCCTAAAACAGTTATGAATGTTGTCCCTAAACCCGTGATAAATGTTGGTAGTGAAATTTTCCACAAGATGAAGGAAATAGCTGGGTTAGGTTCTAGCCAAGAAAATAAAGTTGAATTTGGTAAAGATTCGCTAAGTTAAAACAAGCTTTCAAAGCATGGTTTGGAAGATTTACTAAGTTCATGAAGAATTTTGGATACACTCAAAGTAATTCAGACCACACCCTGTTCTTGAAGCTTGAGGGAGGAAAAATCACTGCATTAATTGTTTATGTAGATGACATGGTCGTAAGTGGGGAACAATGTAGGAGAGTAACAAAAGCTACAAAAGTATTTGTCTAGGAAATTTGAGATGAAGGATTTAGGTGCTCTGAAATACTTCCTCGAAATTGAAGTAGCAAGATCAAAAACTGGTATTTTTTTGTCTCAAAGAAAGTATGTGATGAATCTACTCACTGAAACAGGAATGCTAGGATGTAAGCTTTCTGACACACCCATTTAGATGAATCACAAGTGGTGTGAAGACATGGACCGTTTGCCAACCAATAAGGAACAATACTAGCGCATTGTTGGAAGGTTGATATATTTGGCACATACAAGACCAGATATTACATATGTTGTGAGTGTGGTTAGTCAGTTTATGCAGTTAATCGGATCTTAAGATACTTACGCAGCCCCTAGAAAGGGATTAATGTTCTCAAATTAAAGAATGGAAATCTTGAAGTTGTTGGATATACATATGTTGATTGGGCTAGTTCCATTACAGATAGACGCTCTACATCGGGTTAATTTACATTCGTTGGAGGTAACCTAGTCACTTGGCCAAATAAAAAACAAAATGTGGTTGCTCGGTCTAGTACATAAGCATAATATCGAGGTATGGCTCAAGGAGTTTGTGAATTATTGTGGATCAGAGAACTCTTGACAGAATTGGGTTTTAAACCAGAGAAGGCCATGCAGTTACATTGTGATAACAAGTCAGCGATCAATATTGCTTATAATCTAGTTCAACATTATCGAACAAAACATGCTGAGATGGATAGACATTTCATCAAAGAAAAAAATTGAGAACAAGATCATATGCCTACCCTTTGTAAAATTAGAAGATCAGTTAGCGGATATCTTGACAAAAGCTGTCTGTGGATGAGTGTTTTATGGCTCACTTACCAAGTTGAGCATTGGTGACGTGTATGCACTAACTTGAGAAGGAGTGTTAACGTGAGTTAACCTACTAAATCAAGGAGATTTATTTCCTAAGTTAATTAGGTGATTTATTTCCTTGTTTCATATAGTTGACACATCCTTATATAATAATTAGGAGATATTTTCCTAATTAATTCATGTATCTATTTTCTTGTAAAGCACCATTGTAAACTTCTATATGTACATCCTTATGGAGAAGAATACAATTAACCTAAAGTATTCAAAACATATTTATATTTTAGTCCCTTGTGTTAGCCACGTGGCACCATATCATAGGCTTGGTGACATGACATGTCAACAAAGTCCATACGAAATTAAGGTCCAACACTCCTTTGAAAATCACAAAACTGTTGGAAAATGGCTCACATTTAAGGTTGCAAGTGAAGGAGGCAGCGACCGGTCGCAAGGTTTAGGCGACCGGTCGTTTTGAAGCAGATTCGAAATCTGGAAAAATCGCAGCGAGCGACCGGTCGCAAGGTATCAGCGACCGGTCGCTATGTATCCAAATGGTCGTAGCGACCGGTCGCCCCTGTGCTGTGCTGATGTTTTCTTACGTGTTTTCAACTGTGTTTTCGATGGCTATCGCTTTCCACAAGATTTCAGAGGCTTAGTGGGTCACTTCTGAGGTAAAAGAGGGTTGACTACCTGCTGGATAGTTGGGTGAGCACTCATGGCCAATTGGTTATCTTATTTTGAATAATCTCCTCTCGATTTTCTGGTTTAATGGAGGTGGCTGAGTGGGATTGTATTACCTACTTGATCTGACCCTTAGTCTAAGTGGTGACTAAAAGGAAAGAACGTGGTGGACAATCAGATATCCTATCTCTTGTCCATTGGCTTGTGTAGGTAATGGGATGAAGTAAGATAACACAAGGGAGAAAACAAGTTGAATAAG